ACAATATTTTAGCACTGTTTTAGAATATGTGTTTTTATTAGTTTGACCCTCATCCTTCTTCCTAATATTAACATTTTTAGTTAATTTTCATGTCCACTCAAGTCATTTTTATGTATAGTTTACAACTCAATAATCTACCTTACATGTGAATAATCTAAACAGGTATCATCCTGAACAGTATAATGTTATATTGAGATACAGCCAAACTTTAAGGTTAGCAGAATGAGTTTTTATTCTCTGCTCAGGCATTCCTGAAGAGAGGTAATTTTGTCAATATCATCAAATATTAATTTATTTAATTAATAATTTATTAGAAAACAATTCATAAAATTTCAACTATTTTACCAGTGGGCTATTCATCCATTGGATCATTTTTAACCAATGGAATTCTGCTGACTACACCAATTGTTATGAGGAAACTTTATCATTAACAAAATGATAGACATTTGTCTTTCTGCAATGTCAAAATGTATCACATTAAGACAATTTCAGAAGCCATATCAGTGTTAATCAGGTTTAAGTCACCAAGCACTCGTAAGTTAGCTTGGTAATCATGACCATGGCAATCACAAGTTCTTTATCCCATTCCAACGTTAATTACTAAAATCAGTAATACTCAGATCATCCATTGTACTTAACACAATGATATATAGAACCCAACAGCAGATAAAGGGTTAAAGAGGCTGCAGGATTTAAAGACTATGTACTGAAAGCAAAGGCAGAGAGCACACACTGTTCCAGAAAGGCACTACATTTGGATAACGGATTAAGGAGCCCTTCTCATGGCTGCCAAGGCACGGAGCTGTGAGCTGAAGCTCCGGATAGAAGCAGTTTGAATGTCAGCTTGGCATTTCAAGTTTAAGTGGACCATATCTCATGGGCAGGAAGAGTCATGCTTGAGCTGAAACTTGGAATAGGCAGTTCTTTCTTGGGCAATTTTTCTGGGCAAGTCTACTAAGAAGCAACTGGCTGATAGGTCTATGTGCTATGCCCTCATCTTGGGGTGCTCCTTCTCTTATAGTCTTAGGTGAAGGAATCATAACTGGTGTGGCTGGTCATCTCATGTGTCTGGTGTTTCTGTTATGATTTGACATTTTTTATTGGTGTGAATAAGTTATTCATCAGTTTGCCTTGTAGTGTTCTTTCAAATGTTGTTTTTGCTTGTTTATACGAAATGTAGAGCCATTCTACCTTGGCACTTGTACTTAAAATGGAGTAACCAGTACCAAACTTATACTTTGTAAGACCGAACAACTCAGGCCAAGGTACAATCTAAAAGCTGCAGTTCTAAACAACATGGAGTAACTCAGAGCAGGATATAGCCTGCTCTTCATAGTCTTCTTTTGATCCGTGAGAGCCAGAGCTCTGTAGCTGTGCATGGAGGAACCACAGACTGTTCTTTTTACATCATGCATTATAGAGGCAAATTTTCAGGAAGTAGCATTCAAAAGCAATTGCTAATAATAAGAGCAATGTTTGCTTAGATGATAATAAATTGGGTTAGTCAGTTCATACCACCTACTCTTGATCCAGAAGATTTCAATTAATCTATGAGTTTGTACATGGTATGTAGCCTTTGAAGAATTTGCTAGTTAGTTATCTGAATGTGAATTATGTGGCCTTAAATATCTTTTGCTACTCCAATTGAGTTTCATTTCATGTTGTAAATTCATGTTTGTTGAGTTGTATAGAATTCTTTATGTTTGCCAGTTGTTTGTAGGAAACATTGCCCGCTGTTCTGAGTTTCTTCTGCTTTGCTTCAATAACATTGTCCATTGCACAGGATTTCTTGGATTCCACTATGCCATGATGACTTAGGCAGGTCCCTATATGAAATTATAAGGGTGTGAGTATATAAGGCTATTTAGGAATTTCTATTTATTGTAAAACTGATAGCATTCTGAATTTTACACATTCTGAATTTAAGGCAAACCAAGTGATCCTAATGTCTAATTATAAAATTGCACCTAAGTGTTTGATTTATCACATATTGTTTGTACAAAATTTACTTTAGTCCTAACATACATTGTGTAGATGCTACAATTATGGGTAACATCTTCATTGTATAAAAAACTGATAATGACAATTTATGTGTTATTTGCTTATTTATGTGGTATCCTGATCTGTATAATGGGTGTCTTATAGCTAGAATTTGATATTTTTGATTATTGTGAGTTTGCGAGATATATCATTGATGTTCCTCCTGAACATTAAATTATCTGTAATGAAAAATCTCCTGATACTAATCTGAATGAGTTTATCTGTGCTATTATTACTAGTAAGAACTTTATTTAGCCTAATCAATCACAAAATATCATTTTAACATGTAAATAACATAAAAAAGTCTTCACATTCTATTTTTATACTAACTCTGAAATTCAGCGTATTTCAGTGTACTGTTCAGTGAATAGTGTATAGTACATCTATTCAGACTAGCACAATTTCAGGTGCTCAATAGTCAATCCATGTTTGTGGCGATCATATCAGACGGAAGTCACAACCTTAGAATTCTAAGAGAACTTTGGTGAATTACAGAAACCACTGATTTGAAGTCAGATCAATTAACAAATTCTACTTTTTAACTTATTACATGAGCCTGGGTAATTTGTTCAGTCTCTCTGGTCTTTAATTTCTTCATGTGTACAAAATTTTTGCAAGTCTTAGAGTTGAGTATATTACATAATTTCTGACATTGTGTTCACTTATTTTTAACAAATGAGCACATAATTCATGTTATGTCAATGTGTTGCTCGATACCTAGAACTCAGATTTTGTGACTTACAATAATTTATTGGTCATATGAGATCTTATGACAACCATTTGCCGCATTCTAGAAATATATAAGACATGAAGCCTGCCTTTAAGATGCTTGTTCTGGAATGGTGAACCTATAAATATATATGTATATGTCATTACTTATAACATATTTACAATGTAAATTGAAAACAGTTTAATGATGTTGTGTAACCTAAAAGCTGTCCAGTGGAAGAGGAGTTATTAACTGTGCCTGGGAATATAAGGGTGGACTTTATAAAGATGTTGCTTCAGCTGAATGTGTATCATACACAAGGATGGTGAAAGGGGATCATAGGAAGAAAAACAGCACTTGAAATCCCATGCCTGAGGTATGAAATTTTGAATAGAATGAGGAGATTCTACTTTTACTGTGGATGGTATTCAAGGCCCAAAGGAAAGCTTTATGATTAGAAGAGGAGTAATTAAGGTCCATAATACTCTCGCTATACTTCCCCAGAGCCGGCACGTCCTCATTTCGCCTTGTCTTAGTAAGGATTACCAAGTACCCCCATCTTTACTACTTCTCTTTTTCCTCCTTCTTCAGCTTTAGTCTATCCACAAGCATATTTCTTCTCCACCTCTGAAGCATATCTTGTCTATGCCTCAGTTCAAAGTCACCACCTCTTACTGGGACCACTATTAAAGTCTTCTAAAAGATCTCCCTTTCTCCACTCTCACACTCCTATAACCTAGTTTCTTAACAGAGGCAAGAGTCTTTTTCAAACATAGTCTTTTGGCTCCCCTTCTTATGAGACTCAGAGACTCTCTTTGTTCATTATTCTACAGTGTCCTAAGTGATCTGGCCCACGTCTTTGACTTTGCCTCATTTTATCTTCTTGTTTTTCACACAGATTTTATCCCTGCAGTCTGTTCTTTTTTAATGTCTTGAGTATTCTAAGTTTTTTTTATCCATGGCCAAGTGCTCCATCTAGATTGTTCTTTCTTTGATCTTCAAATGACTGGTTGCTTTAATTCTTCAAATCACAGGGACCATTTCCTCAAAGATGTTTTCCTTGACTATGTAGTCCAATCTAGCTTGATGGTGAAGCCACTCTTATTTTCTTATTCTGGTATTTCATATGACCTCATATTGACATAAAGTTATTTTATCATCACTATTAATATCATTGCTATTATTATATTTAATTGTTTATTTTTCTCTCCTCCCACAAGAATGTAAGCTCTCTTCAATCATAAACCTGTCTGTCTTATTCATCTTTTTATCCCCAACATCATTTTGAGTGCTTAACAAAAAGACACTCACTCAATACTTACTGAATGGATGAATGATGCTGGATAATCCTCCATCTGTAATATTATTCTCTTTCATAGGATTTCACTAACCTTAAGGAGGAAAATAGTGTGAACTCTTGTATTTAGTGCTATAGCAGTTACAAAATACATTTGGCTATGGGGAGAAAAGCACCATCACCACCTTAAATGCCACCACTCTAGCCATGTGTTAAGTACATGACTTGATGGAGGGGAAAATATTTATTTATCCAGTTCATAGGTATTTAAATTTCAAGTACATTCTTTGCTTGCTTGCTTGTTTGTTTTTTAGACAAGGTGTTTCTGTGTAGTGTAGTGTGTCCTCTCCCTAAGGATTCTCCTGCTTTAGCCTCCAGAATGTTGGAATTATAGCCATGCCACACCATAGCTAGTGGTTTCCTAAACTTTAATGCGGATTTTTAAATAACTAAAACTTTGGTGTGGGGGAAGAAAAGAGATAATTGATTATACTAGGTTTTTTTGGAAAGGGAAAATTACCAGTGTGTGCAGATAGTTTTTAAAGCAATATTTTGAGTATGAATTCAGTTAGCTCTAATTGTAATTTTCCTTCTATCAGACAACATGAGAAATGAGATTTAACACTAATTAAATAATGCATGAATAATGAGTGTATATATGTGTATATATATATATGTATATATATATATTGCACACACACATACATATATGGCCAGATGGTTGAAAAAGTCAATATTCCTTCAATATGAAAATCCTTAAGTTCTAAAAGGCTGTTTAGATTGTTCAGAGATTTTAGGGATGTTCTTTATCTATTGAGTTAACATTGTTATTATTGAACTCATATTATGAATAAACAGTTTTATATTTTCTTCATGTTAACATTTACTTTGTAAAATGTGCTTTTCTTTTGCAGGATTATAAATAGTTGCTAGAAAGAACATTGGCAACTTCAAAGCAAAATGAAATTTCTTCTGTTACTTTCAGTCATTGGGCTCTGCTGGGCTCAGTATTCCCCAAATACTCAACATGGACAGACATCTATTGTCCATCTGTTTGAGTGGCGCTGGGCTGATATTGCTAAGGAATGTGAGAGATACTTATCTCTCCATGGATTTGGAGGTGTACAGGTAAGTATTACTCATAGTATAAATTTCATAGTTTACTGTTCTTATGGAAATGTTATATTAATCAGTTTTAGTGAACCTGGAGCAATATTTTAATTCACAGATCAGTACTCTAGAACAATTTTCTGAGGAAGAAAACATTCAGTATTATTGGCAACTTTATATTTTTCTTTAGGACATCAGCAGGACATCTCCAATGTGCTGTTAATATTTTCAAGTTTATTACAATGCAATGTGGCTTCGGATACAAAGATGCAAAAATAATTGTAGATTCTTGATTAGTTTCAAGAACATTTAATGATATAAAAGAAGCCATAATTAGAACTTACTAAGATGGTTTTATTTGCAGATTTCTCCACCCAATGAAAACATTGTAGTTAACAACCCTTCAAGACCTTGGTGGGAAAGATATCAACCAATTAGTTATAAAATATGCACAAGATCTGGAAATGAAGATGAATTCAGAGACATGGTGACTAGGTGCAACAACGTTGGTGTAAGTGAATTCAAGAGTACTTTAAAAATTTATGAAAAAAGTAATTTTCTTTTTCCTTTCTTGTCTTTTTGACCAGAAAGCTTTTCATATTTAAAAATATTTAAATTTCTCTTCCTACTTCAGCTACAACTCAAAATGAACTCATGTTCAACTTTTGTAAGTTCTTGTGTATGTATCATTTATCTGCTAAACAAGACAAACTTTAAGGTTTAGGGAATAGTTTACTTATCAAGCAAAACCTTGACTTTGAACTGTTATAACTATACACATTTCCTACTAACACTTTTCTGGTGATTATGTTATAATAGTTGCTGTCATTTTCATGTGTGATTTTGTGTCCACCCATTTTCCTGGGTTGTGTACTCTATCAATGTTTTTAATGGTAAATTGCTATTTTCTGCCTATATGGAAGATCACAATGACAAAGTCATATCCATATTCCTCACTCCAAATGCTCAGCAAAGAGTAGTGGCCAAATGCTCGGCTCTCCTTGTGACCCAACGAAATCTCAGAATCCAATGATCTCACCTGTTTCGACTGAGTCCTTCCTCTAAATTGACTTTTCATGTCTCCATAGTTATGGTACTTTCTGGTTTTCTCCATTTATTAGTTATGTAAATATTTGAATAACTAGCTAGGAAGATTGGAGGTCTTCATTTCACATTAGGTTCCTTTCATAGTTGACTTTTGGTCTTTTGGAAAGTAAAGTGATAAAATAGCAACGAAATATATTGAAGTTTTATTAAGAGACTATAGTTTAATCAACAATGCCCTATATTCCTTCCTAACTTCAAACTTTTGCTTTTCAGGTCCCTATTTATGTGGATGCTGTAATTAATAACATGTGTAATGAAGGTATGGGTGCAGGAACAAGCAGTACTTGTGGAAGTTACTTCAATGCTAAGAGGAGGGAGTTTCCTGCAGTTCCATACTCTGGTTTGGATTTTAATGATGGTAAATGTAGAGCTAAAAGTGGAAGCATTGAGACCTATAGTGATGCTGCTCAGGTAATGTTTTAAAAAGTATTTATCACAATAAGAACTACATATGCCTTTAACCATGAACATGCAGCTTATTGAACACCATTTTAAATACTGGTCTAGATTCTTCAGGAATACAGGTTTCCAGGACTAACTGCTTAAAAATAAGGCTCTCTGCTGGGTGTGGTGGAGCACACCTGTAATTCTAGCAGCCAGGAGGCAAAGACAGAGGTTCTTGAGTTTAAGGTCAGATTTGACCACCCAAAACAAATGTCTCAAAAATACTGGAGAAGAGAGAGAGAGAGAGGAGAAAGAGAGAGAGAAAAAGAGATCTTGAAATCAATATTGAAAACTCATGGGGATTAGGATATAACTCAGTGGAAGAGCATTTGCTTCATTATGTGTAAAACCATGGATTCCATCCTCTGTACCATACACACAAAAGAAAGAAAGAGATTTCTACAATCAACTAAAAAGCTTATCTACTTTATTTGCTGTTATTCATTTATATAGTAGAAACTATTTCAAAATTTCATCCACAGTGGAATATAAATATCCCCAATGTTTTGTGTAAAGGCATTATGGAAATGTCTATTGATGAATAAATGAAGGAATCAATAGTCAAATTGATTCTAAGGTGAAAGATAATGTTTGATTGGTACAAAATGTTTTCCTCAACAGGTCAGAGATTGTCGTGTGATTGGTCTTCTTGATCTTGCACTGGGGAAAGATTACGTTCGTACCAAGGTTGCTGATTATATGAACCGTCTCATCGACATTGGAGTAGCGGGGTTCAGACTTGATGCTTCTAAGCACATGTGGCCTGGGGACATCAAGGCGGTTTTGGATAAACTGCATAATCTGAACAGAAATTGGTTCCCTGAAGGAAGCAGACCTTTCATTTTCCAAGAGGTACACACACATACCACACACACGTGCATATAAAATAATATCACTTTGTTAGTTAGAAATTAAGTGGTGGATTTATGTAAATATGCATTTTCTCTAAATTCATGGCCTAGTCACTTATATAGAGCAATAATCTTTAATTTCCTTTTATTCAGAGACAATATACTTAATTCCTTACCACAATAGGTTCAATAGAGGTGCAAAGGATTTCTCTAGGCTGCAGACTTCACTCTATGATTTATTGTATATCCCCCAAGACCATTATTGCAAGACAGAAAATCATATAAATGTTATTTTCTGAAGCCAGTTTATCTGAGTTTGTATCTTGGTTAAACTGCTATTAGCTGCATAAATTTTTAGGAAAATTGATTAAACCCTTGTGCACATTTTTTTTCAATGTAAAGAAAATTGTCACAGATAATGGTTATATCATTGTTTTCTTTGGACAACTAACTAAATGAATAATTGTTTGGTCTGAGAAATATTGATCAGATATAGTACTATCAGACATTGTTATTATCATTTATATGCAATATCAAATTCAGTCAGAATTCTTACAGGATGACAGGTCACTTTTTATTTGATTTCCCTCAACAATGGCTTCTATTTTTTTAAAATACTAATTTGTCCATTTGTACACTTTAATTTTATATGAACATGGAAATTTTCCCCTGGTTTTCCACCAGGTAATTGATCTGGGTGGTGAAGCAATTAAAAGTAGTGAGTACTTTGGAACTGGCCATGTGACAGAATTCAAATATGGTGCTAAACTGGGCAGAGTAATCCGTAAGTTGAATGGAGTGAAGATGGCTTCCTTAAGGTAAATAAGATATAATTAGTCATATTGCTCCAATATGTGTTATTTTCTTAGACTCTTTCTGTTTGGACAGCTCTCGAGAAACTGATTATTACTAATCAGTATTAGTGTTCTGTAAACAGTATTTAATCATCCTTTTCACTTGCAATGCCAGTTTTGAGGAAGGATTCTATAAACCCGACATAACCTAGAGATTTTAACCTATGTACAATACAGGCATGTTAGAATTTGGTGAAGTGTGACTATAAGCTCTTAAAGCTGAAAGGATCCTACCACTTATAAAATGCCTACAGTGTGGCTACACTGTGGGATTTATATCAAGTTATTAAAAATATTAAATTGTTTATATTACAGTTACATAGTATTGAAGCCTTATTTTAACCAAGTTTGTCATTGTGTATAATGTGACATGAATGTTGACTTTTGTGAATCCATCCAAATTACAGTATACTGAAACTTCTCAAACGTCTTTTTAAAAATTATAATAGAGGATATGGAATCTGAATGGAATATGAATAATCCATAAGTACATAACAAGCATGGAATGCATTTGTACATTACACACATGTACACACAAACAAATAGATACAATAAAAATACTGTGGAACAGACATTTGATCAGAGAATGTATCTGAGGATGCTATGTAAAAGGAGGTACAGATTTAGCTTACTCAATGTATTGTAAAAGAATACACATGTGCATATATAATTATTTTTCTGACAGGAACTGGGGAGAAGGTTGGGGTTTGATGCCTTCTGACAGAGCCCTTGTCTTTGTGGACAATTATGCCAGTCAACGTGGAAGTGGGCCTGGAGGAGCATCTGTTCTTACGTTCTGGGATGCTAGGTAGGAAACAAAGCTGTTTCTTTCTTTTTTTTTTTAACCTGCTTTTTTCATAATGTTACTAATCTTTTATCACATTGTAATCTTGTAACTTTCAGATTGTATAAAATGGCAGTTGGATTTATGCTTGCTCACCCATATGGATTAGCACAAGTAATGTCAAGCTACCACTGGCCGAGATATTTTAAGAATGGAAAAGTAAGTTTTAGAGTTACTCAAAATATATTTTTCTGAGAAAAAAAGAAAAGTTCTGTTTTAATTTCACATGAGATTATTACATTGAATATTTATTCATCAAGTGTTTATTTAAATTGTAAACTTGATGCCTAATTTTTTTAAAGACATTGATTTGAATAGCAATTTCAAAAAGGAACTGAGAAATAAGAACATAAATATATTTTAAAGACTAAGAATAGATTTTCTTTTTTAAACTGACGATTTCAGAGGTAGCATCTTATACCTAAAGGAGAAGTTCCTCTTCTCTACAAGTCAGACACTTACATTTACTTTTTTCTAGATTCCTTTCAATTTGTGAATCCCCTATTCCTCTGTCCACCAACTCATTCATTTGTAGGGTAGCATTAATATTTAGTATGCTAAGTTGACCCAGCTTCTGATTGGTATTCTGATGTCAGGAACCATGGATTATTTCCAATTTCCTTTATCCTATAACATCTCTACTTTACTATGTTAAAATTTTGTAGTTTGTACAAATAATGATTTGATACTGATAACCCTCCTACACTTACTATTTCTAATTTTAGAAATATCTTTAAAAGTTCTACCAATCAGAAAATAAAATGTTAAAACTTTGGTCAGTTTTTTAAAGAATATTAGGATGTGTTGGTAACTACATTTATCCAAAAGGCAATATAAAATTAATATTAATTTGGGAGTTATTATATTCAAAGCATTTTCACATACATGACTTACTTTTTATTGGAACCAAGCAAAAATAAACATATTATACAGATGAGAGAACTGCACAGAGAGAACCTATGTATTTTGACTAAGATTTTCAGGCTAGTTATATTGTAGTCTGTTTAAATGCTGGTGCTAGAGAAAAGGTTAGATCAAAAAGAATTAACCTAGAAGGTAACACCCACGCACAGGAAATCAATGTGAGTCAATGCCCTGTATAGCTATCCTTATCTCAACCAGCAAAAACCCTTGTTCCTTCCTATTATTGCTTATACTCTCTCTACAACAAAATTAGAAATAAGGGCAAAATACTTTCTGCTGGGTATTGGGGGGGGAGAGGGAGGGGGCCGAGTGGGTGGTAAGGGAGGGGGTGGGGGCAGTGGGGAGAAATGAACCAATCCTTATATGCACATATGAATAATAAAAGAAAAATGAAAAAAAAAATGCTGGTGCTACAGACACTAATATACTTTCACTTTCAATGACATTGAAGTGCTGTCAGTGACATTAAGAAGCCATTGCTTGGACAGAAAGGGATAGGCACTAGAGAACCAGAGTCTACAGGGATGAAAAGGATTCAGGAAAGAATATAAAAATACCATAACACTTGGATTCTAAATAAAGAAACTGCAGAAGCATAAGTTAAGCAGAACCAATTTGGTTTGATATAATGGAGAAGGAAGAGGCCAATGCATGTATGTTAAAAATCTGACTTTTTGCCGGGCACCAGTGACTCACTCCTGTTATCCTAGCTACTTATAAGTAGAAGCCACCCCTGGGCAAATAGGGGTTTGTGAGACTCTATCTCAAAAAAAATCTCATCACAAAAAAGGGCTGGGGGAGGAGTGGCTCAATGTGTAGGTTCTGAGTTCAAACTCCAGTATTGCAAAAAAAAAAATCTGACTTTTTACTTTTTATAATTAAGGATGTTAATGATTGGTTCGGGCCACCCAATAATAATGGAGTAATTAAAGAAGTAACCATTAATCCAGACTCTACTTGCGGCAATGGCTGGGTTTGTGAGCATAGATGGCGTCAAATAAGGTGGGAATGTTTATTTACAGATAATCCTCTAACAGGATTGTTAATCAAGTTTTTTAATGTCTTGAAGTTTAATGGTACCAGCATTTCATATACATTGTGCTTTAGGAACATGGTTATCTTCAGAAACGTAGTTGATGGCCAGCCTTTTTCAAACTGGTGGGATAATGGTAGCAACCAAGTGGCCTTTGGAAGAGGAAACAGAGGATTCATTGTCTTTAACAATGATGACCGGTAAGTAGCTCTCAGTTAACAATCATCCTTTATGCTACTATAATGTTAGTTTATTCTTTTCCTTCCTTGATTATTTACTTTTTTTTTCAGTACTGCAATATTTATTTTCCCAGCTCTGTGTCTGAACTACTATTCTGTCTGCTCCTGTGGAATACAGCCTCCTCTGTCTCTGTGACAAACAATATTTTAAAACATGTGTAAGAAATATGCATCATGCTGTAATTTTTAACTTCTAGCCCAAGTTCTTTTTACCCTCTTGAAAAAAAGTTATTTTTGAAGAAATAATATCATTTACATTCTTAAAAGTTCATGATTTTCTTAAGTTTAGAAGTGGGCAAATTTAAAATATTTATGTTACTGTGGGTAGTAATTTCATCTAAGGGTGCCAATTCCCTTTGGATGTTTTTACTGATATTCTTTAAATTCAGTGGGTTTTTTTTTTGCTACTATTTACCAGTGACTGGTAAAGCAATAGGTTTTTGGCACAATCACTTTTGGTCCTAAGAATGCTTTTACAGCAGTTCTAAGAATGCTTTTACATCAGTTCTCTGTGTTTGGATTTTTTTATAGTGAGAACTTGACCATTTAGAGTTTTACTGCACAAAGATATTTGTTTTAGAGACAGCCTGCATTCTTGCACTGTGTTGAATTTAAGCTTAATATTAATTTTATTTTTCAGGCCATTGTCATCCACTTTGCAAACTGGCCTCCCTGCTGGCATATATTGTGATGTCATTTCTGGAGATAAAGTTGATGGTTATTGCTCCGGAATTAAGATCTATGTTTCCAGTGATGGCAATGCTCAGTTTTCTATTAGTAATACTGCTGCAGACCCATTTATTGCAATTCATGTTGGATCAAGATTATAAAATGCAGATTAAACACATAGAGCAATAACCAAGTGTATTTTTCTTATATGCATATTAATTCTTATAATTCACTAACTCTTTTTTAATAAGGAAGAATGAAATCATGTGGTTTGAAGGTAAATGGATCATCTAGAGGACATAATGTTAAGTGGAGTAAGCCAGACTCAGAAAAACAAAGGCTACATATTTTCTCTCATGTGTGGGAAATAGACACAATATAAATATAAGCAATATTATGAAAAACAGGTTACACAAAGGGGAGATACTAACTGGAGAGGGATAGTAAAAGAAGGAAGTTAAGGTGAATGTGGGTGATTCATTTTCTATACAAGAATCAATGTAGAATTTTTATACTTATTGAAATCACAAGAAGAAGAATAAGGTAGAAAGGAGAAACATGGCATGAACCAATTCAAGTTATAATATATGTATACATGAAATGTTGCAAGGAAACTCTGTAGAGCTATCTTAAACAAACAAAAATACCCTTTTTCAAAAAAGGAGTACAGTAAGGTAAAAAGGGCCCTGTTTTCAGGTTGGTACCAGTAAGAGGTAGGAGGATATAAGGAAAGGATGAAGGAGGCTTAATGTAGTGGAAATACTATGTACTCCTATATGAAAATGGAAAAATTAAACCTGTTGAAACTATTCCAGAAATGGGGGGAGAAGGGGATAAAGAAGGGGAGAATGATGGAGGGGGTGAATTCAACTATAATATATTGTGAGAACTTTTGTAAATGTAACAGTGTACCTCCAGTAGAACAATAATATATGAAAAGAAAAATGAACAATTGGAAAATAAAAAAGTTGTAAGTAAGCAACTTGAAAAAGTTTTAAAAAGCATAAAAATCACATTAATTTATACAATCATAAGATAGCTATAACCAAGGTGTTACTATGTTTGAAAAGATTTACCTTAATCTGTTGTCAAAAGAATTTCTAACAATTCAGAGAGACATCCTGACAAATATGCTTTATTTCATTTATACCATTATCCACTATGTGCCTCTAATTTCTGTTTGCTGATAATTCTTCCATTGTGTTCCAATCAGAGAGTGAAGGATTAACGATGATTCTCATTCAGTCCTGTGGTTTTCATAAGAAGGGAATTTTTCAAATAAATGAGTTAAAAATAGAAGAAACTGAAATTATACCACCTAAAATTTCAATTATATTGAACTCCTTAGACTTTGTCTGTATTCTTTCCTCTCACTTTTTCAATTTTTTGATTTGTGCTGCATAGCTTTGTGTCCTTTCTTTTATCTGTAAAATGTATGTAGGGCTTTCTTGACACTATGTGCCCCAGTTTTCTTCTTAATCCTCTATTTATTCACCATCATGTTGACATTATATTGACTTTTCAGCTCTCTTATACATCATCTTATAACTCTTAGCTATTTTCTTATGCTTAAATAAGAAAATAGAAGTGATAACTTGAAAACTCTAACATCTTCTAACCTAACCCTTCATATATGTTGCTGTGAAGCAGATTCATTATACATTGGTTACCACTTCAACCCATTGCATGTTGGGCTGCAATTTCTACTATTTGATGAACCTCATGAAACAGAATGTATACACAAATAAGAAGTTGCATGAAACATGTTAATTATTTACTGAAAGGCAGCAAGGGACATCAGAAGCCTAGCATTTACGATGAGCCACACTCCCAAAGATCAGGAAAGCTAGTTGGTCATATGGAGCCTCATGTGTATCTGCCCCATTTGCTGCATAGGACAGGAACCCAAGAAAGAAGCCTGACTAGGTTGCATTACCCAGGAGTAACGGGATTCCCTGGACATCGTGTTCTTGGGTTGCAGAAAGAGTTTCAGTAGTTCCTCCCAATTCCTCCTTATGTCAGGATTTATTCACCACCCACTCCACAGTTTATGTTGAGAATGCCACCTGTGAAAGGGTGAGTTGGTCTATGACCACGAATTTTCTTTTTTTCTCTCATGACAAAAAACAAAACAATAAAACCCACTTCATTCTACAAAAGGCCGTTCCTCTCCTTGTGCGAATGACACCATGCCTTTTTATAGCTATGTTTGGTCACGTTTGTCCCCTCAGACTACATGCACTACAGTGATCTTTCATCTCATAACTCCATGTTTAGTTTTGATTGTGGCTTTTTCACCAAGGGTTCATGTGTTAGATGCTAGGACCCTATTGTTGCAATCTTAGAGACACAGGACTTTTAAAAGTTGTAGCCAAGTGGGAGGCGGTGAGGTTATTGAGGACACTGCCCTGAAGAGGAATTAAGGCAGTTTTCATAGGATCTTGGTTAGCTCCCAACAGAGGAAATTTTTACAAAAGAGAGAGGCTGACTCCCTGTCTGGCTTCCTGTCTCACCTTGTCATTCCTATCACCTGTGCTGCCACCACAATGCCTTTCACCATGAGGCCCTCACCAGAGGCCAAACAAATGGAGCCACCTGATATTGGTCTTTCACCTTCCTAAACTGAGATTAATTAAAACTCTTTTGTTTATATATTACTTAACATCAGGTATTTTGTTATAGCAATGGAACATGGACTAATGTAATCCATAACCACCCCAATTTTCTCTTGGGTATAGTTCATTTCTCTGCCTTCTTTTCTAGCTAACCATTTGTTCTCATTTGCCTCCACATTCTCATTTCTCCTGTCTTTACTATGCAGCATCCATTATCAACATGTCACTCAACCTGTTCTTGTCAACATCATCGATGACACTTAGGTTACCAATTCAATGTACATTTCCATCCTCATTGCACTCTGCTTCACAGAAGTATTCAATAGTGTGGGCTACTCTCTCCATTCCTTAGATTGCTGTGATTCTACTTTTTCCTTACTGATTACTTTTAAATATTCTTTTCCTGAATCACATTCCTCTGTTCTACCTAAAACCTCATTGATATTTAATTTTCTCCTCTAGATGATTGCAGTCATCTCAATGGATTTGAACCATATCCTTGTGCATGGATAACTGCATCTCCATTGCAGAACCTTTCTTGGATTTCAACCCCACATTTTCAATAGATGCTTGTTACCCAATAATGTTCCATAGACATCTCATACATACCCAAATGAAACTACAAATTTTTTCTTACTAAATGTTTTACTACCTCTCTTTTCTTATCTCTTACTTAGAAGCCTAGGTTATTACTTTGATATTTGCAAGTTTCTGTCAACAACTTTCCCTATTCTATCCTATAGACCTTAGTATGTATTGATTTGCAAAAGGTGCTGTTATCAAAATGAAAAAACAAACCATATACTGGAGAAAATGTTTGCAAAGCATATATTTGATGATGACTGTATCCAAAATAAAGAAAAATGCTCAAAACTGAAGGATGAAAAAAACTCATAAACCTACACACAAAATGAACAACAAATTTGGACACTTAACATAACATTAATAAATGGCCAATCAGCATATTCATCATCATTAGTTATTAGACAATTGAAAAATAAAGTGTGAAAAATGAAAAAAAAGTGAGCTAGCATGACACACATAGTAAAACAGTATAAACAAATTCTGACAGCAGAAATAGTTATGAGGTATGTAGAACAATTAGAGCTCTAATACATTGCTTGTAAAAGTATAAAATATATAGCCACAGTACATAGCTATGGTATAATTACTCTGAAAAAACACTTTGGGCAGGCAAACACACTGAAATGTGACTCAGTCACCTCTCTTACATTCATCCAAGAGGAGCACAATAAAATTATATATAAGTGTTTATGGTTGCTTTATTCAGCCTTCAAAATGGAAACTTATACATCCTTCAACTACTGTGGTTCATCTACACTTCCTCAGTCTTGTGTTTGTGATTCTAAACCTTTTACATCTCCTTCTTACATTTGGAATTAGCTTGCAGATATTTATAACTTGCTGGGATTTTGATTGAGATCACATTGAGTGTTTAGATCAAGTTGTGAAGAACCGACATCTTGATAATATTGAATCTTTCTATCAATGTACATGAAATATTTCTCCATTTATTTGAATAAATCTTATCAGATTTATACCTCAATATTTAGCTTTGTGGGTGGTAAAATGCTAATTATTTTTAATTTTTAAATTAAAAATTAATTTTTAATTAATTTAAAAATTTTTGAATTAAAAATAAAAGTCAACATTGTTTGTATATTAGGAAACAAAAGTCTTTTTCATATTAATGTAGCATATAGCAACCTTGCTGTGATTGCCTTAATTCCAGTAGTCTTCTTGTCACTTTTAAAAAAGATGTTTTACATGAACAATTATATCATTTGCGAACAAACAATTTTCTGTCTTTCTTCCCCATCTTTATATCTTTTGTTTCCTTTTCTTATTATAACAGCTTCCAGTAAGATGCTGAAAAGGAATGGTGAGAAGAGCAGCCTTGCCTTATCTCTTGCCTTAGCAAGAAAGTTTCAAGTTTCTCACCATAAAGTATGAGGCTAGCTATAGGGTTTTTACAGATGCACTTTATGAACTTGAATTTATTTAATTTTAGCCAAAACTGGGGGAGAGAAAATCTCAACACATCTATCTCTGTCTTGCACATATCAGTGTCAAAACTTACAGAAAAGCTGAAAAAAAGAGGACAGGAAATATGCATGTGTAGATTTAACTATGGGCTCCAGATCCCAGGACTTAGAGACCAAGTCTCCATATGCCAGGATTCAGGGATATTTTCACTCCAGCGTGGTATTGCCTGTAGGGAGCTGGAACTGAAAAGATAATGTTTGAAATTGATTCTAAACTCCAGGATCCACTATAGAAAGAGAGTTGTTGAACTGAAAGCTATATTTTCATGAGCTAGTTATGAAATAACTAATAACTAATAACTAATAACTAATATGTCTATTAACATAGACATATTTATGTCTTTCCTCAATGTTGGAATTCATTGAATAACAATAAACTTATCATCTCTAAATCCCTTGAGGTATCTTGGTCATCATGACCAGAACATCCATAAGTTTTCTGTGCCATTTCAGTCTTGATTACCCAAATCAGCATAACTCAGACAATACATTACACT